TATTCATTCAATTGTCTCATGCATCAATTCAATTTTTATTTTGTCCGTGCATATCATCTACATTCACATTATTCATTAATTCATGCATTTTCATATATTTCCAGCACTAAAAATATTTTGGCATTTGCATTAAAAAATTCATTAAAACTTACCATTTTAAACTTTTGCATTTCATTAAAATATTTTCATGCATTAAAAATTATTTCAAAATTTTTCTTCATGATTCAAATTAAAGTTACAACATTATTCAAATCACAACCTTGATTTTTTTTTATTGAAATAGATCTTCTAAGTTTGATTCGAATCAGGGTTTGTACATGATTCAAATTATAGTTCACTTAAAATTTTTGTTGCATGTTTCAAATCACACTTATAAAAAGACTCAAATCATGAAACCAAAAGTCATGTTTTAACGTATTTTCAATGCTCTTTTTCATTTTCATTTCATTTCAACTCAGTTTCAAATTCTCCTAAAGCAAAACCCATTTTCCAAAATTTGAAACTCATTTAATTTCACCATTTATCATTCTCACATTATCATCAATCATCCTCATCATTTATGATCATAGTCATTATAACCCTATGGCTCCAACATTACCATTCACACCAATTGTCAATTAGTATCATTACTTCCATCAACCATGAAGATTAGTTCATCTGACAAAGGCAATAAAATTTCATGTTCTATATATATTATTGCTCATTGTCCAAAGAAACCTAGAACCAAGATGCAAGCATCCAAGGATACTCCAAATGCTTGCATTGCTCGTAAGAGTTTGATTGCTCATAATCAGAACATTTTAGTCATCTGCCATAAGGTTAGCCATCTTCTACCTAAAGAAAGTTTGAATGTGTTTGCGGAAAAGCTCTTGTACAAGGCGATTGAGTCAGAGTACTTTGTCGACAAACGTGCTGAATCCAATTTGAAAGTGAAATTTCTTCAACCCTTCGCCAAGCACAATTTATTGAAGTTCATTATATTGAACAAGAAATTAAATCCACTCCACATCAAAGCTTCCTACTGCAATCTATAGTTGAATCCTACTGGTTTAGTAAGTAAATTCAAAGACCGTGTTGTTAAATTTGATTACACTAATTTTACTGCTCAATTTACTTTGAAGTCTGTTGGTATGAATCTCTGTGTTGCAAAAGCACCAAATTATGATATGATATCTTTTATGCAATCAATTTCAAAGTCTATTTTTGGTGATCGATTGGACACAGATGATTTTCACATAATCCAAGTAATATTTTAAAAGAGAATCCTTCATTAGGTTATAGTTAAAATCTTATACCAGAAGCCACATAATTGGGCTAGGGGTGATGACTTTGATTTGTATTTGATACAAACACTTCTACATTGCAATCACAATACACGGGTGAAGCTTATCTTGGAAAGGATGTTTCAGTGCAAAGAAACTCCAAATAAGTCTTTATTTTTTACCTCATTTATCCAGTTAATTTTAGACTAAATGGTATTGTATCTGAAGAAGCTAATTTATTGGAGCTTCAAACATGTTGTAAGAATCCATTATCTCCATGACGAGGTATTACCCCAACTCAAATGATGTTTACTTCTACTTGGAGAAATCCATGTGGAAAATGTTTGGAGTTAGGTTTGTGGAACCTAAGAAGAAAAAAGGAGTTAATTATGCTGGATAAATTAGTCCATCTTCTGTTGGGTTATTGCCTGCTAATGTGAAAGTTTACTTTGAAGATTAGTTTCGTAAAATTTTAGCTGATAATCAAGTCTGAGAATACTAGATTATGGGTCGTATTGAAGTTGTGGCTAAGGAAGCAGAAGAAGGTATACATAAAATCAAGGAAGAAGTGAAAGCAAGCAAAGTAAGAGTGATGTCCAAAGTTTCCACTTTGAAAGGTGCCATAAAACACATTAGAAGCCCCACATTTGTTTTCAACATTGATCCTGAAGCCGATGTTGTCACTCTTAATCCGCCTACAACTGACTTGCTCTGATTCTTACCCTTTCATGCATATCATAACATATCATTTTGCATTATGTTAATTATTATTCCTTTTGAATATTATCTGATGTTATTTTGTATAATTGACTTTAGTTTTTGATAATATACTTGGTGGTGAGTTTTATCCACGTTTTTTTAGTATCTCTATGATTTCTCTATGCTATCTTACTTTATCTTGATCATTTTCTAAAATTACATCATTTGTGATAATAATCATATGCAGTTTTTGGGGTGTCTATTTAGTTCGCTAAGGTATCATTTAAATTGTTGGTTTTTCTTTATGATGGATTTATTTGTATGCATTCTTCTTCTCTTTTTGATATTTGTTAAAATGGGAGAAGTTATCGAGATATTATCGATATTCATCTACAATAAGTGTTTAATGCAGGGGGAGCGTAGAAGCTCAAGCAAAGTGTTATAAAGTTGAGCTCAAGTAATGTGTTATACAATCATTTCTCGTGTGCTAAGCATTTCACCAGATTCAATTTTTCTTCAAATTCTTAATATGCTCAAATCAAATTGATCAACAATAATATCTCTACATTTTCCAAACATCAAAAGGGGGGATGAAATTGCAGTCATGGTATCATTTTTTAGTTTTTATGTTTTTGTCAATTTGAGTGTATGTGTTATTTAATTTTTCGCAAGTTTGTAATTTTATCATTTTTGAATTGTATTATGTGTGCTTCGACTATGTAGTATTGTACCTTTACTCCCTTCATTTTTCAATTACTTAGAGTATTAGTCCATGATAATTTATGTCCTTTTTTAGCCTTGCAAGTTGGTTTTTAGTCTTTCATCAAGTGTTACTTGAAACACAAGTTAGAGCACTTGAATCAAGGTGTTGAGTTGTTGGATTCGAAGCATGTACATAGTGTGACTCAAATAATTCAATTTGTGAAAACTTGATTTTGACGTTGTATCATCAAAACCAAGGGATATGTCCGACATACTTGTTCAAAGAGCATTTCTCCACAAGACTTCATCTCATTCGTGATCACAATCACTCTAGAGATGTAATCTGACACCTTCTCATCATTCTTCATGATGAGATTTCCATATTACTTGGGCAGAGACTACAACTTGACCTTCTCCACTGATGTGTCACCATCATAAAATTGCACTAGTGTATCCCACACAACCTTTGCCATTGTCGAATCAACAATTTTCTCAAACACCTTCGTATTCACACACTGATGGATATATAACAACACTTTATGATCTTTCTTCCCCGTTTCACATTGCGCAGTTCTTTGCGCTCCTGTTGTATTTTCTACAACTGGTGTGTAACTGTCATTGATGAGATCAAGAACATCTTGGACTCCAAAAAACACACATCTGAATCGACCGTCGATTACAGTTCTTCCTGTCAAATACAGGAAGCTTTGTGTTCAAGCTACCGTTTATGCCATTCATCTCCGTTCTTATGCAAATCACTCAGTTTTCACCAACATTCGTGTTTTTCAAACCGTGAGAATTAAGATTTGTGATTCTCTTCGATTCAAACTTCAATTCAACTCAAATTTTAGGAACAAAATCAATCACACACCTCACTACACTCATGTTTCCCCGTGAATCAAACTAGAGCTCTGAATACCAATTGTTGCAGTTCAACAATAAACCTACATTAATAATGCACAAAAATGAAAAAGATAAAGATGAAAAAATGAGAAAAAAATTTCTAACTAACTTTCTCTAAAAATGCATAAGATTCTATTATAAATTCACTTTCATTTAAATTTTACAGACAAACTCAAATAAAACTCAAATTTAAACTAAACTTAAATTCAAATATAAAACTAAAACTAAATATAAATGAAACTAATGTTAAATATTGAATTAGTTCTCATCATAGTAGAAAAGATTAAGGCTAGAAAAGCGTTCCCTCCACTTTGGCTTTTTGTGAGGCGAAATCTAGCATCCAATGAAAAACAATGGATAAGTGATTATACATCAATCAAGAGCCTGTTTGATAAATTTAACAATATAGAATCTGTGGTCGTTATCCATGGTCTCAAATTTACATTAAGCTTCTAAACCATGTAAACTCATTTCTTCATAGTGTTGTATCCTATGTTTTGCCACCTACATCATTGTTTTATGAAGTACACACTACACAACTCCTCAAAAATATTTGCTTCTAGATGAACCTTTTGCAAGAATATATATATATATATATATATATATATATATATATATATATATATATATATATATATATATATATATATATATATATATATATATATATATATATATATATATATATATATATATATATATATATATATATATATATATATATATATATATATATATTTTAACCTGAGCTGGTTTATCGGAACCACAATATTTAATATTAAAAAAATTAAAATATAAAAAAAAAGAAATGAGAAGTAAATTGCACTGTTCATTGCAAAATAGAAAAATGATAAAAGACAAATATCATTTAAAGAAAATTGAAAACCCAAAATTACCTAGAATAAATTTGGACTCATATCATAAGACCAAAAAGATATTATCACATAGGATATAATATTATTACATATATAAATATCAATCACAAATATTAAAAAACATTTAATATACTATTTTTCTGTTTAAACAAAAACATTTATACATAAATTATTTCTAAAAATAAATAAATTAAATAATTACGTGTTTAAGAAATTTACAATCTAGAAAAGAAAAGTATCTTCAAGCATGAAAGTTTCTTGAAATTTCAAGATAAGTAAGTGACTTAGTTTTTTTGGGATTTCTTTTGTTACACATCAAATTCAAATACCATTTTCACTCACATTGCCAACTGTACACAACAAAACACTTTCTGACTCAGCATCCCCGTGTATCTTTCTCTCTCTAACATTTTCTCTCTCCTATTTAGTGTTTTTTTCTTTTAAAGTTTTTTTTTTAAATTTATTTTGTTTTTACCACTCTTCAAGTCTTTTGATCAGACAACAACTTTGATTCTGTTTGAAACGAGAGAGACTGTCACACAACTCCGACAAATAAAATATGATGTTCTTCCCTTTCCTTAAACATTGTCCATGCATTCTTCTCTTCCTTCTCTTCACTCTCTTTTACACTTTAACAGGTTTTTTTCTTCTTCTTCTGATTTTTTTCATTAAAGTTTTCAACTTTTTATTATTTTCTGTGTTTTTGTTTCATGGGGTTGTCCTGTTTTATTTTGTTGCGGTACTGAAATTGTTTCATCTTTTTGTTATCCTTATTACATTTCTGTGTTTTATTCTGATATTATTTTACATAATGTTGTGAATGTGAAACGTTACTGTTTGTTTGAGATTGATGGAAAGTTTTGTTCTTTCAAGTTGTTCAAAAAGTTGGTGGAAAAGGGTTTTTAGAAAAGTGTTTATTGTGATTGAGATGTAATGGTTTTTGATGTCTCTGTGATGTGACCATAGTTAGGGATGACCCATATGTTTTACATGGAGATTGCGTCGTCGCAATCGTTCATATTGCGGAGAATCGCGCTCAAATGTGTCGCAGTCTTTGATATTGCGGAGAATTGCGCTCAATTGTGGCTGAAATGTGGTTTCGGCAAGAAAACTGCTATGTTGTAGCACCAATTGAGGTTGCAGACCTTTATTTTAAACCTGCCTAATGTTACCATGATTAGGGTTGTATTAGCATAATTTAGAGATGATTCTATGAAGTAATTTAGTATCGAGGAACACGAATGTGACTCAGCCGCGACTGTGATTTAAAATCTTGGAAAAAGTTAGATATTTTTCACAGAATTACTTTAATTTGTGGTTGTTTTTTTCAGAAGCTTATGATCCACTTGACCCGACCGGAAACATCACGGTGAAATGGGATATTATAAACTGGACACCAGACGGTTATGTCGTGAGTACATTCTTTTACTTTTTTTTTTTTTTTTAAAGTTCTAGTAGTCTAATGGTGAGCCGCGGGTTGTAACCCACGATACTGCAATCTGATGTTCTTGCATAACTATCAATTGAACTGACTTACTGAGACAATACATTTTTTTACTTTATGTTGATGTCTAAGATACGTTATGAATTTACAGGCCGTCGTTACGATGAACAACTTCCAACAGTATCGTCATATATCAGCGCCTGGATGGTCATTAGGATGGACATGGGCAGAGAAAGAAGTAATATGGAGCATGGTGGGAGGACAGGCAACTGAACAAGGAGATTGTTCAAAATTTAAGGGTGACATCCCGCATTGCTGTAAAAGAAACCCAACTGTCGTAGATTTACTTCCCGGAGCGCCTTATAATCAACAAATTGCCAATTGCTGCAAAGGCGGCGTACTCACCTCATGGGCTCAGGATCCAGCAAACGCTGTTTCGGCATTTCAACTCAGCGTTGGTGGTGGTACAGCTGACACAACTAACGAAACCACCGTCAGACTGCCGCAGAATTTCACCTTGAAAACACCCGGGCCAGGATACACATGCGGGCCGGCGAAAATTGTGAAACCTACTAGATTCATAACACCAGACAAAAGGAGAGTGACTCAAGCACTTAGTAAGTTAATCATCGTCAATGTTCATTTCCTTAAGTTGTAAGTTTGTTTACTTCCTATCTATGAAGCATGGATATTGGATACTGGAAACACGACATCGACACTGACACGTCGAAACCTGTAATAATTTGAAAAAACGAATGAATTAAACGTAATCACAAATGTCGGACACACCTCTTTTCAGAGGTGTCGATGCTTCAGAGCTTCCTATCAACAAGATATTATGATTTACTTGGATCTTAACATTACTCCAATATTTTTGCAGTGACGTGGAATGTGACATGCACATATTCACAATTTCTTGCTCAAAAAACACCAACTTGCTGTGTGGCTCTTTCATCTTTCTATAACGATACTATTGTACCGTGCCCGAGATGTTCGTGCGGCTGTCAAGGCGACTCGGCTCAAACGGGAAGCTGTGTAGAGTAAGATTTCATTACTCCCGACACTATGATTTCATTCTAACCGAAAATAATACTATACACTCACACATTTCCTTTTCCTGTATGGTTATAGTCCAAGTGCGCCACATTTGGCCTCCGTTGTTTCCAGCCAAGGAAAGAATAGTATTACACCTTTGGTTCGATGTACTAGTCATATGTGTCCGATCCGAATTCACTGGCACATTAAGCTCAACTACAAGTTGTATTGGCGAGTAAAGGTCACGATTACTAATTTCAATTACCGGATGAATCACTCAAATTGGAACTTGGTTGTTCAACATCCAAACTTTGACAATCTTACTCAAATTTTCAGTTTCAACTACAAGTCAATAAATCCGTACGGCTTGATAAGTAAGTTTATATACTCATCAAGATAAAATAGTCAAACTATGCTATAAGCAGTTTTCATAAGTTACTCTGAAGAGCTTATAGGCAAGTTATAAGTTGTTTTTACGAGCTCTCTCAAACAGTCTCGTAAGTGCTTATGCCAGCAGATAAGCTCAAATAAGTCAATCCAAACAAACTCTTAAAATTATGAAAGGTTTTCAAATTTCTTGAGTAGCAAGTTTCTGCAATATTCCAATTTTATCATCCTAATCACTATGTGAACATTAACATGCTCTTATTTTCGCCATAGAACAGAAAAAAACTCATTGGCACAACTTATTATGTCTCTTTGAACAGATGATACAGCCTTGCTTTACGGAGTTAAATTCTACAATGATTTCCTAATGCAAGCTGGTCCAATTGGTAATGTACAATCAGAACTACTTTTCCAAAAGAATAAATCAACGTTTACTTTCGAAAAAGGTTGGGCGTTTCCTCGGAGAATCTATTTCAACGGCGACAACTGTGTGATGCCACCGCCTGACGCTTATCCATGGTTACCTAATGCCGGTTCCAAAATAGAGGTTTCCTTCCTTGCTTTGATGATGGCATCCTTGGTGGCAATATTACTTCATGCACATTCTTAAAGATTGTATCCCTATGGAACACTCAACTATGCCGTCTAAAATTTGTTCGGATCAGTTTTGACTCATTTTTCAGATGCCAGTTCGGAATTCAAACCAAGCCGGAGTATGACATCCATTGACAGTTCAAGAATTTTCTATTTTTAGTTAATTATGTATGTTCTAACTTCGAAAGTAATGATGTATTTTTCGGTTTTATATCCTTAATGTATTTTGTGCTGTAATTATAAGAAATATATACACACAAGAACACAAACAGAATATCATCTTCGATGTTCAATATGGATTTGGATTTTCAAAGAATGACTCGTGTTTTCATATCTATTGTCGTGTTATCTGTATCGATATACATTGCTTCAAAATGTTGAGAAAATAGTTCTGAGACAATAATAAAAATTGTTCTATGAAACTGCTAGCAGTAAAAGTAATGAGAAGATGAGTGCTTTGAAGGTAACTATGGTTGCAGGTGAAGAATTAGGGAGAAAAGGGTATGTATCGGGCGGAGGAAGCATGCATTCATCGCCATTGAAGTAAACCTTATGAGGAAATGCCCATCCTTGTTTGAATGTGAATTTTTTGTCTTTCTGAAGTAATACTTCTGATTGAATGTTTCCCTTTGGTCCTGCTTCCATTAGTAGATCATTGAAGTATTTCATTCCATAGAACATTCCTGTGTCATCTGCATGAAAAATAATCGCAACATGCTTAAATAGTTATCTCTGCAGGATGGACACCTCGGAAAAAGGGTGTGTCTTGTGAGTACGTTTACTTTATTCATTTTTTCAAGTTATTACTAGTGATGACGTGTCAGTGTCGGTGTCGTATTTCTGGTGTTTGTGCTTCATAGATAGTTATTGTATTGAGTTGTACTAAAAACTTGATATCTATATGTTGATAATACTCACTTATGGATTCATAGGGAAGAAGTGGCTTGTAATTGAAGCTGAAAACTTGTGTGACATTGTTAAGATTTGGATGCTGAATAGCAAGAGTCCAAAGAGTGTAGTTCATTCTGTAATTGAAATTCGTTACTGCGATTTTGACGCGCCAATAGTCTTTATAGTTAGTCTTCACATGCCAATGAACCCTAATTGGACACATATGATGAGTGCATTGCATCAATGGCTCATTGTCTTTCTTTGGAGTGTGAACTCCAACCATGCTCAAAATTTTAGAGTCGCTCCTGCATAACGAATCGTTAGCAGCAATACAGTAATTTGAAATTTGAAACTCTTTTCTTTGAATATGTAAGACTTACTTTACACAGTTCTTCTTGCTTTGGCAGCCACATGCACACGAAGGACATGGTGTAATTGTTTCATTGTAGAAGGATGATAAAGATACACAACAACTTGGATTCTTTCTTGCTAGAAATTGTGAATATGTGCAGGTAACATTCCATGTCACTGCATAATAATAAACAATAACATAAGGTAAAACTAAGATAATGTTGTAGTTTTCACAGTGGGTTCATCTAAAACATGTATATATTTTTTTTAAAAACTCGGTATCTGGGCCTAGAACCGACTAATCCGGATGACCAATCCCACCACCTACTTGCAGGGGTCTCAATCGAAGAGAGGTCAAAATTCTATATGGTCTGATCCTATACATGAATTGTTAGCACCTAGTGGAATTCAAACCTGATACTTTGACCAACAGGCCAACGAGTTCCCTCTAAAACCTGTATTCTTTAGTGTCTCCGTCTAAAACCTGTATTCTATATCGTCTCCATCGCTGCTATTTAACAACACTGCTACAAAATGTTGTCAAATCGCGGCTATAGCAGCACTATAGAGCTATTGCGTAGCAAAATTTGAGCAAATTGTTATTTTTTGTGATCCGCTATTGACAACAGTGTCTATATAACGGTGAGAAAATTGAAATAGTCTAGTGAGAGAACTTACTCAATGCTTGAGTCTTGCGGCGCTTATCAGTTGTAAGAAAAACCGTGGAAGGAACAACCTTTGCAGGGCCACAAGTATAACCGGGTCCAGGAGCCAAAAGAGTGAAATTCTTTGGAAGTTTAACCGTTTTGTTCGACGTTCCACCTTGTCCTACACTAACTTGAAAAGCCGATACAGATTGCGAAGGATCTTGTCCCCAAGCCGCAACAACTCCACCTTTACAACAGTTTGAGAACTGTTGATTGTAAGGTACACCAGGTAGAAGGTCTACAACTGTAGGAACTTTCTTGCAACAATGAGGTATGTTGCCTTTGAATTTAGAACAATCTCCTTGTTCTGTCGTTTGAGCTCCCACCATTGACCATATAACTTCTTTCTTAGCCCATGTCCATCCTAACGTCCATCCCGGATTCATTATGTGCCGAAACATTTGGAAATTGTTGACCGTAACCGTCGCCTGATCATAAAAAATGTACAAATACAAACACTCGTCAGTCACCTGATCATACAAAAAGTACAACCACAAACACTTGTCAGACTGTTCGAGAGAACTTATGAAAACAAGTTGAAATGCGCGCTTACCACGTAGCCATCTGGGGTCCACGACATAACATCCCATTTGATTGTTATGTTTCCATTTGGATCCAAAGGATCATAAGCAACTATGACATAAAAAAACATCAAAACTTAGTTGAACAATGAACAACAATGAACATTATATTATACGTAAGTGAAAAAACCGATTAAATAAACTCAATATCTTACCGGCATAAGAGACTAACACAAGAACACAAAGAAATGAGATAAGAAACCTCATTGGTGAATAATGTGCTTAATGAAAAAGCTATGCAGAATGAATGTATGGTATTGTAGAGAGAAAAAAATGACTTGTAGGAAATTCTAGATATGCATTCACTCACCTAATGGTTGTTAGAAATATGGAAAATTTTGTTGCTATATATCACTTTCTAATAGTTAAGATTTCAGTTCAAGTTTCCACATCTTAAAGCAACCGCTAGAGACTAGAACAGAAGGGATGTGTAAGAGTGAATGTAACACTTCAACTGTTGTCTTTGAAGAGGAAGAAAAATTCTTCGAAAAATAAAATGAATCAGGAATCTAACAATATCGACTTTTGTCAGTTAAGTTAGAATTTGCAGACAAAAATTATTAATATCAAATATGGAATAATTATGATCATGTGACAACAACATGGTCTATTTATGTACAACATTTAGTCTTTTCTGAAACTTACCAAACAATTTGGCAATGTGAGTTTTATGGTTTTGCTTGCTTTTTGTGAATTGAAAAAGAGTTTAAAAGAAGCAAGCAACGTAGGGACAGGTAGTGAGTTCTTATCTGATGAAAAAATGACACACTAACAGCTTCAAAATTGAATGCTTCAACAGGAAAATTTCTCAAGTACCTAATAACTTCTAGTCATTTGCCAGTTGTTCTATTAGCTATTGATTTTGGTATCAATATGTGTCACACTGAATAAATGGTCCAAAGTTTGAATTCTGAATCTTGAAAATAATTGCTTAAGAAGAAAGATGAGATAGCTCAACTTATATGAATTAATTGAATTAAGAGTTAAAGAAATTCGAGGTTATGAATTTATTGTATCCAAATTAAGAGAAGTATATAAATAAAAGAATATATTTTTACTAAAATACTATTATCATATATATTAGTATATTCATTTTACTATATATACAAAATAAAATACAATAAATTCAGATGAGTGCAAATAATATTTTAGCTGAAATGTATTTTAGGTTCCTCTTATTTGATGATTTATAAATTTTTCTTTCATTTTAAAAATCAGTTTTTGCCCCCTCAAATTTACTTATTTTGAAAAAATATATATATATTTTTAATAACGTGACAATGATAATTAAGATAATTTATTATTAAATATATTTTATAAAATAAATTAATAATCTTATTTAAGTTTATTTAGATATTTATTTGAAAATTATTTAGGATTATTTAGAATCTATAAATTATTTTTTTGGGGCTTGTGGGCCAAATATTTGTAAGATCTCACCTAGAAAAGTTTGCATTAAAAGTTTTTAAATAAACTTAAATGATTTTCAAATAATTTTTTAAATAAGCTTAAATGATTTTAAAATAATTTTTTAAATAAAATTATTAATTTGTTTTATAAAAATATTTAACACTCCATCCTGATTTATTTTTTGTCTTAATAATTACTGTCACGTCTATAAAATTGGAGATGACCAACAAAATCCTAAAATGATGCAAAGTTGAGGTACCAAAAATTAATTTTTAAAATGGAAAATTATAAATTAAAAGTTATCAAATTAGAGGGTCAAAAGTGTATTTAAACCTAATATTTATTAAATAGTACAATTAAAAAAATATTATATTAAAAAAATCAATTCATTTTAAAATTTAAATATTTTTTAAAGTAAATTACTTAAACACAAATTTAAGTATTAGTACTTTTCTTTGGTATGTTTAATATTATTTATCAGGCTAAATTACAGTTTTAGTCCTCGATTTTGCTTCATCCCGAAATTAATTCTCATATTTTAAATTCAACCAGTTTTGGTGGACAACGATTCTTGTGAAAGTTTAAAATATTTTTTGTGCAATTTAAATTTTAAAATTTGAACGCATTTATTACACATTAAATCACACCATCAGTTAGTCACTTCTATTTTGTCAAAAATATGTTCGGAGTTCAATCTTCGAATATCATGATATTGGAATCAGAGCTGTTTTTGAGGTTGTGCAAGATGCAACACCTCAACTTGATTATTATTTTATTTAATTATTTATTTATTTGATTTGATTTAGTGATTTATTTAAATAATTATTTTATGTGATTTATGACGTGTTTAGCCGGTAGTGACATTTGTGGTGATCTCAACTTAATTAATTAGTTTTAGTGAGATTTAATTAATTAATTAATAGAAAGTTTGTAGAATATGAAGAGTTGAGATAATTTTACAAATTAAGAGAATTAGGTGGTTAGTGGAGAGAAACCTATGGTTAGTTGGATCAAAACTGAATTAAGCACGGTTGATTAAATTATTAGAAAATTATAAAAAATAGGATTTTTAAAACACTTTTTGACAGTACGTGAAAAAGAGGAGAATAAAGAAGAAGATGAGAGTTAGGGTTTGGGATAGGAAACTCCATAAAAGGTTATTGGATTGCTTTTGCTGAATTTTTAAGGTAAAGAGGAGACTTTTCATCTAAGGGTGCCTAAATCATGAAATGGTATAAAGGTCTCCCTTTACCTTCAGTAGGCTTTTCTTCCTCTTTTTTTTATTGGTTGTTTGATGAATTTCATGAATGTGATGTTGTGCTATGCAGTATGTGAGTGCATCTTTCTGTTTAGTTATGTTTTGAATGATGTCAAAACTTGGAGAAACTTTAACATTTTTGTACATTGGACAGTATCAACCAAATTCTAGATGTGCATTATTCATCTTGGCATTAGGGTGCATATAAACATGTTTGAAAATAATTGAAAATAACTTAGGAAATGTCCATGTATAAAATATTGAGTTTCTAGTGTGAAAACTACTGCATAGGTCGACACATACGTGTTTAAATCAACCTATCGAAGCTTTTGCTTCAACATCGGTCGTTACATAACTCACTTAGATCGACACCCATGTCTCAATAATAAAGCCTATAGTCATTGCCTATGTGTCGCCTCAAATAGGTCGACCTGAGAACTTTATAGGTCGACACATCCGCTTTCATAGGTCGACTTATAAATTTTAAATTTTGAATTTTTGCTTTCCTTTCACTTCCTCAAGCATGCCTTTTGCTTCATATAAGATATATATATATATATATATATATATATATATATATATATATATATATATATATATATATATATATATATATATATATATATATATATATATATATATATATATATATATATATATATATATATATATATATATATATATATATATATATATATATATATATATATATATATATATTCATACATGCATTTTTTTCTAGTAAGGTTCTAGTGTAAAACCTATACGAAGTCGAAATTTCAAAGCATACTCATCATCTTCAACCTCTCTTCTATGCAAACACATAGTCAAACTACACGTAATCATTTTTTTAATTGGTGACCATCTAGATTAGGATTGATAACATCCAATTAGGCTTGTGTATCGAGAATATTGGGTTGAGTTCATTGAGGGTTTCAAATAAGAAAACTGAGTTGGAGTTTTTCCTTCAAGATCATTGAGGATTTAAAGGTTTTGGAAAATATTACGCAATTCGAATCCGATCGAGTGAAAGCCTTAGGACAAGGTGGTTCCTTGCAAGGGAGTAGCATGAGACAGTGGATTGTGTTGGTAAATCTTGGGTTTTAACAAGTGTGCGTTTGAGTTTAATTCGACCGTGTGAAAGTCTTGGGACAAGGTGGTTCCTTGCAAGGAAGTAGCAAGAATTAGTGAATTAAAGCTGTATTTTCGGTGACTTGATCAATCTTTGATCAAGGGATTTAGAGGTGGTAGAATCAACAACACACCATAAGGTTTGTAGGGTTAGAGTTTTTTATCTCTTGAATATACACTTTTTGCAAAGTAAGGTTAATTGCGAGTATCTCAATTAGATTTTGAATTGAGAGAAAACGTACCCATAATGAGATAGATTGGGGAACTGTTCAAACAAATATTTCTCTCTCTCTCTCTCTCTCTCTCTCTCTCTCTATATATATATATATATATATATATATATATATATATATATATATATATATATATATATATATATATATATATATATATATATATATATATATATATATATATATATATATATATATATATATATATATATATATATATATATATATATATATATATATATATATATATATATATATATATATATATATATATATATATATATATATATATATATATATATATATATATATATATATATATATATATATATATATATATATATTTTTTTTTTTTAATTTTGTTCAAAGAAATTATTGAATTCATTGTTTGTTTGATCATTTTGATTGGAAATTATCTTTGATCATATTTTTGAATAAGGGTTTGTTGATATAATCATAATCTGGTTGGTTGTAATTGATTTTTGATCAATAAAACAAATCAAAATTTCAAAAGATATTGATTGCATACAAGGTGTTCGATAAATTGCTTTATTGTGTTTTTGATCAATGAAAATAAGCTCTACGTATAGCTTAGAATTTAACTATTTGTGATTAATCATTGTTGAATAATTTGAATTCATTATTATTTAATTGTGTATCTTTACGCATATCCGAACTTTTCGATAGAGGTTTGGTTAGACGATTTGATTCAGGTTGTTTACGTTGCGCCATAAAACTTTTGAAAACCATTTTTGCCAAAAGTTTGAGTTTTAAATTTGTGATCTATTCACCCCCTCTAGATCGAAGCCTATAGTCTAACACAATGAAGTGATTGAAATTTGTGCTCTATGAATATGGTAATTAATGATTGTGTTTAACTGTTCATAAACACGGTGTTTGATTTGAAATCGAGGGTTTTATATCATGAACATAATTCTGAATTTTAATGATTAATTGATGGGGTAACATATCAATTTAATGGAAAATAATTTCTAATATGTGTTAATCATGTATGTATAACTTCTGGGCTATTTTGGGATGTTTTGGAATTAATTTGGGGTGTTTCGGAGGTTCTGCAATGGCAGGACGTGTTTTTGCGTCTATTAATAGGGTGACAGGCATCACCTGTATGACGCCCTGGTCGTCAGGTGTTTTGAGATGCTGAAGGGTGTAAG